ACACATCCTACCTTTTTTTTTTGTACAAAGATCTCCTTATTGATTTAAAGCTCCAATCTGTAGCTGGTTTTCAGTCCCACATTTCAAGCCCTATTTGATGCCACTCTAATCCATTTTTCCTTTTTCATCTTGGAACAAAGTTGACGCTGCATGCACACTTCACATGCCACGCAACTCTCCCCACAGCAGCAGGTAGGAGACATGGAGCGGTCACCTAAGTTCACGGTTTTGCCTTGTGTTCCTCTTTCAAATGCGCAACTTGCTTCTCCAGCAGCTGCTTTTACATCAGTTTTTACCTGCCCTCATTTTTCTAGACATTTCTTTCTGTAAACAGACCTTATTATATTATTGTAATTGATTCTCAGCTTTTAAATCTCATTTATTTAAGCTATTAAGTGTGAATGCGAAATCTGGTAGCATAATAAGTTGAAGCGTCTCTCGAGACATAACAGAGCAACAAATGATTGTTTTTACCTTATCTGACACTCCACAGTGTAATTGTGTTGAGACTTCAGGCAAGGCATCAAATTCTACTTTAAATCGAGGCACGTAAAATGAAAGTGGCCTGTGAAGTTACACACATACACCTCATATCATTTTACATTTCCCAGTTGCACTAATCCAAGCACCAACAGCGCCTAAAGGATGCTCCAACTGGTTTTGGTGTGGAGCCCAAAAGCTCCCCCGGTGTGCTGAGAGCAATGACGCTGAAGCTCCCAATGATTCACCGTTTGTTTTAACATCGAGGGAGCTTGTAGGTGTTCTTGGATTTAGGGTACCACTTGGCATCATTTTGCCGCAGTACTCACCGATATCCCAGTTGTAGGCATTGGCCTCCATCTCCATCTTGCCGATGATGTACCAGATGCAGGCCATCCAGTGGGCCAGAAGGGCAAACATGGACATCAGCAGGGTCAGGACCACTGTGCTGTGCTGCGAATAGCGATCCATCTTCTGCAGCAGCCGCAGCAAACGGAGCAGACGCACAGTTTTTAACAGGTGCACCACGGACACCTGGGGATAAGGAACGAGAAACCAAGGTGAATTTATTTTTGGGATGCAGGTGGTGAAATTATCAATTTCATACAGTTCTTGTCATGAACAACATGTCGGGGAAAGCAAATAGGTATTGATGGCTTTTTGTTTTGACATATTAAGGCATCTGTCTTTGAAACAGCGTCTATTATAGTCATATTCATAATTTAAATAAATAATAAAACAGAGCAGTCACGTGGAAAAATCTAGAACCACATTTATTACACCTTCAAATCCAAGAGATTAGAATCAGGGTTTTCAGAATCGGTGCCAATGATCAGAGCTTCTTTTGGCTGTGACAGGTGGAACACTGTCTTATTTAAACCTTTGAGATCTAGAGTCTACAGTTCTCTTCACTGTCTATGAAGATTCTCAGTCATCCAGGTCATTCTCGTAGTTTAATCGTAGCAACTGGACTTGCTTGAGTTTCTTGAAGACGTTTCACCTCTCATCCAAGTGGCTTCATCCGTTCTGACTGACGAGTTGGAGGTTCCAGATACTTATATCCTAAAGGAGCCATTAACACCTGAGTTTCGGTTTCAATTATGGGTTTGTTGCTCCCCCGCCAGCATTATGTGGGTCGCTCCCCCTGCCACAACGGGGTTCGTTAGGGTCTTTTGTAACTAGGTGTGAATGCAGTTTCATGTTCTCTTCACTATTTAAGTGTGTGTTGTATCATCAGGCCAAAATCTAAAGAGGCTTTCAGAAACAAACACTGTGAATGCCCAAGAGTCTGGCAACAGGTTTAAAAAGATCTCCAAACTATCTGAAAGAAATCATTCTGCTGTTAGAAAAATCATCTACAAATGGCGTCCATTTCAAATGACCGCTGCCAGGACTGGCCGTCCCTGCAAATTCAGTCCAAGAGCAGAACATTTGATGCAAAAAGAAGTCTCCAAGAAGTCCAAAATTTCATCACAGGATCTGCATTCAACTACAACTACTGGTGTCAGAGTGCATGGAAAAGCTTTTGCCGTCCAAAAAGATCCTCAAAGCAAAACGGCAGTCTGCCAGTGAATATGTGCCACCGCAGGAACCAGACAGCCTGCAGACACTGATTCAAAAATACATTCTGCATCATATCAAAGAGTTCTTTAAGTTAACGTAATGCCCGTACACAAGCTTTCAACAGGAAAATGATCCTAAACACGTAGACAAAACAAGATATCGAGTGAAACAGCCAAGTCAAAGCTCAGATTTGAGTCTCACTGAAACGTTGTCTGGGTTCTGAAGCAGGCAGTACATCCAAGAAAACCTTCAAACTTCTTGCAATTGAAGGAATTTTGCGTGGAGAATGGCCAGCAAGAGTGGAGAACAAATATGTAAAATGCCTAGAAGAAGTTATTTTTGCTAAAGGGTGCAATGCTGCCTTCTGATCCCAAAGGTATAGTCACTTGTTTTCACATCTAGTGACACTTCTGGACAGTAACTTAATGAAACAACAAATTTTTCTTGTAGTTGTGTTAAAGTATCTTTACCTGTAGTCACTGTACATTTAAAAGAGGATCCAAATGTCCATGATTTATCACTTTAATATACAAACAAACGGGCTGCAAGGTGGCGCAATTGGTAGCACTGTTGCCTCGCAGCAAGAAGGTTGCCGGTTCGCGTCCCGGTGGGGGCACTGGAATCTTTCTGCGTGGAGTTTGCATGTTCTCCCCGTGCAGTGTGGGTTCTCTCCAGGTTCTCCAGCTTCCTCCCACACAGTCCAAAAACATGTTGAGGTTAATTGGTGATTCTAAATTGTCCGTAGGTGTGAATGTGAGTGTGCTTGGTTGTTTGTCTCTAAGTGTAGCCCTGTGATAGACTGGTGACCTGTCCAGGGTGTCCCCTGCCTTCGCCCTAAGTCAGCTGGGATAGGCTCCAGCCCCCCCGCGACCCTAGTGAGGATTAAGCGGTGTATAGATATACAAAAAAATGCACATCAGTATCATCACTATAAAGCAAAACTATATCATAATACAGACATAAAGCGAGTGAAACGGAAATGTCTGAAAGAGAGGAGCAGAGCGCAATCGTTTCCCTTTTTACAGACAGTTAATCTCATGAGAAGAGTGATAAACCGGCGTAACACACACACACACACACACGCAGGCACACAGAGTGACACACGGCTGCATGCACACACTAAATAAAGTGGTAAAAAGCATGCTTCACGTCCTCTCCAGCGTCCGCTCAAACGCTCTCCCATTCTATAATTAGAACTTGACAACTGCTTGTAAACATTTCTACAGTATGATCTATATGAAGGTTTCCTGATGAAGGACTCTCGGATGTAAAAAATACCAATTAGAGCAATCAGGCGTTTGCTCGCAGGTGTGTTTGTTTTGTTGTTTTTTAACTTCCAGTCCTCACCATCAGCAACATTGCTTTCTTCTTTTGTTGCCTTTTCTAAACTTCTTTCTTTCCCTCCCCTGCAGCAAATTAAACCGCTCCGGCCGAAGCCTTCTTGCGTCGCTTTTCTGATTTACGCACACAATGTTTAATTCCTTTTCACACCTTTCCTACTTTCATGTACTGTAGATGTGATGTGAATGTCATCCATTGTGCACCTGCTCCTCAGGCAATCTCCACCAACAGTCCATCATTTGGGGCTTGCCGTCGTGTATCCCCAATGGAGGTATGCACACACACACACACACACACACCAGCTATTATTTCGGAGGATATAGGCCATGGAGGATATTTGATGTATGTTTCATGTGTGTTTCTGTAGTGGGGAAGGGATGAGGGAGGGATGGCGAGTGAATAAGTGGGACATAAATTCTATAGAAAATGTATGTATAAAGGAATAACAGAGGGATGATGTGCGGCAGAGGTAGAGAAGAAAGGTGGGAGAGAGAGAGAGAGAGGGCAAAAGAGAGAATCAGAGCGTCCGAACAAAGCCATGTGTGGACGGTCCTTATCAGAGCTGCTCCTGCACACGGCCGCAGCATGTTTTATGGCGGTTTTTCCTCCATTCTCTCTGTGAGAAATAGAGAACTGGTGCAGCACGAGGGGTAATGAAGCCTCCTACCGAGCCCTGGGGAGAAGCTCCATCTCCTCTCCACCATCTATCACCACCGCACATCCCACCTATGGAGCGAGCAGCCTGCGCCGCATCCCATCCTCCTCCAGCAGCATGAGCAGTAAGCAATCTAAGGTACCCAACGATACGCACCTCCCGCCACTTTGTCCTTCAAGTTTTCTCCTTTGCCACTTCCCCCTCACCCCGATGTCATTCACATTTTCATTTCCTCTGCCCATCAGGTGTGAAATTTGCCTTTAGCTATCTGATTTTTTCTTTTTTTTTTAACTTTCCTTCAGCTTTTTTTTTTTTTTTAAAGGCAACATCTGCACATGAGACTATAACTTCATATAAATGCTCATTATTTCTCCCCCTGCAGCCACGCCTTTAGTCCTACAAGCCTATCGCAACGGCTTGACTGGTCGTGTGTTTTTATTTATTTTATTGATGCGTTTATTTCGGGCCGATAAGCATGAATAACGCTGTTATGCCAACAATGCAATAACACCAGGGAGGCATCCAGGTCCTGGAGACATATTCATAGGAGCTTTAATAATAGCACTTAATATCTAGTAGAGCTTTGCATAATCACCTCACTGCTGACCAAAATATTTTAAATATGTAGAATGGACGGTAAGCTGGTTTAATTTAGTACAATTTACATTTTAGACCAAATAAGAAGTGTATTGAAAGACAATGACAATGTTCATAAAAAGCTCTGAAAGAAGAAGTGCTTTAAAAAATAAGCTCTGTTTTTTTATATATTTTTTTCAGTTCCTCTTTTTTGTTGTCTTGAAAACTACTCCAGCTCCCTCAAACACATCTGTGGGGTCTTTTGAAATGTGCAGAAGTTCACAGGAAAAAAAAGAACCCTGAGAAGTAGGACCCAGTTGGTCAGAAGTAGCCTGATTAGATTGGATCAAATCCTGAAAATGGCTTCTTCAAAGAAGAAGAAGAAAAAAGGAATTCTGAAATCAGATTCGATCATGTAATCTAGTCTTGGTATAGATCAGGATCAAGTATGTGTTGTTGCAAAAAATCAGGACTACACTGAACCCAGCAGAAATCTGGATGGAGGTATTTCAGAAACAAACTGTAAAAGACTTTAAAATTGTTCAAATATTACAACATCTGTTCCATGTGCTGTACATATGCTCTCCTTGCATTTTAGGTTACAGGCTTAAAACGTTCTTCTTTGATAAAGCTCAGAGTTAAGGCTGCTCAGGTGATCCTGAACCAACCTTTAGTTATGCTGTTATAGGCCTATACTGTAGGGGGGAATTCCTCTTCTTTGCTGTTCTCTTTCTTGCTCCATACATTTATGCGCCACTAACTGTCACTAACTTTGTGTCTTCCTTCTCTGTAGTTTGTTCTCTCTGCAGGTGTCTCTGGATCTGGAGCTACATGTCTCTGACCTGCACTTATTCAACTCACCAACCTCCCCGGTGTTTATTGTTCTCTAATGCATTGTCTGTCTGTTTTCTTTTTGCTTTCCTTTCGTCTCTCGCCCTTTACCCTCACCCTGACTGGTCGAGGCAGATGAACGCCCTCACTGAGCCTGGCTCTGCCGGAGGTTTCTTCCTGTCAAAGAAGAGGTTTTTTTTTTTCCTTCCCACTGGATTCTTCTGGTTTCTCTCTGTAATATAATACTGTAAGGTCTTCACATTACAACGTGGAGTGGCTTGAGATGACTTACCTGTTGAAGTGCTGCTACATAAATAAAACTGAGTTGAATTGAATTTATATTTTTACACTTTATTTGTTTAACTCCTACAGTAATCAGTAAAATGAATGAAATAGACTTTAGGCTAAATATTAAGACTTTAAGTACAGTAAATGTAAAAAAAAAAAAAAAAGGGATTTTGTCTCCATCTGTCAATATAACAAAGTTTTCTAATTGTCAGTATCAGAAATAATTATATCATTGTGCCTCTTAAAAATGTCAAAAAGCAGGACAAATGGAGAACATTCTTTAATTTGTTAACCTCTACACATTAATACTTAAACGTGCATTCAAAATATCTAGATTGGATTTGTGAATAATGTATATTTGTTTGTGTTTATCTGTTCTGGATCAGATGATGATGGTGATGGGATGTTTGTGTTGTTTTATTGTGTTTTCTCCTCAAATAAAAACTCTTGAACAGACCCCATGTTGGTTATTTTACCAGTCATTCTTTAGTTAGTAGCCTACACAGAGATACGTAATCCCAATCGGAGAACAGGTAAACTGTATTTGGTCATCTTGAAAAGTTGGATTCAAAACGTGATTTTCAAATCCAAGTCGTTTCGAGCTAATAAATCTTTTTAAACAACTGGATCCAGGAAACAAGAGCAACGAAAAAAAGAAGTGCAATTTCATTACCTAACAGCTAAATGCCAAAACAGCAGAAACGACGGAGACATACGACAAAAACAAACTAAAGCAGAGCACATTTAGCTGCTGAGCCCCTGTGGTTCGCTTTTGGCTTCTGTCCACAAAAGGGACATCAGTCTGAATGCTTCGTCCTTAGAGGGGACATCACGCAGAACATTCGGCAATTACCAGCCACTGCTCTCCCCCCCGCGGCGATGAGGGAAGTTGTGGCCTAGTGGCCCTACACCCAAAGCCAGACCTACTGGGAACGTGTGGTATTTCCATTAATAGAGTTGGGAGCCTAACTGGCACCTTCGCCTGGAGCACACTTTCACTCCTCCTTCCCCTTCATAGTAAAAAACTGTTTTTCTTAACTAAGAGTTTTTCTATTTTTGCTCGTTAATCCTAATTAATCTGAAAAGACTGTTTAACTTCCAGCGCACACACACAGAACAGGAGATATTAAATCTGACCAAACCAAAACTGGACTAAAAATCACTTACTCCAGCTTTAAGGCGGATCTATCATCAATCCAATATTGTGTATTGAACCCTCTGATTCGCATTAGTGTGCTTCAGGAAGCAAACAGCGGTCAAAGTATCTCTCTCTGTCTAAATTAGAGGACCAGAAAGCAAAAACCTCACACAAGCCACCAATCAAAACCTCCCTATAGTGCAGTACTTCGATTGGGTGATATCATTCAGTCGGGGACAAGACAAGATAGTCCACCTAATTGCTCCAGAACTCGGTTTCGTCGTCCGCTCAACTATTCTTGAGGGGGCCGTGTATTTGACTCGAGCAGAACAGGAGAGGAAAAAAAAAAAAAGGTTTTAATGATTCGGATTTGATTGTTTTGTCAGAGCTTGTACAGTATGCGGAATCAATACGCCAAATCAAAGAGGCCGGGGCAGCTCTGGAAACAATCCACATGATCTATTCTTATGAAATGTCAAACGTGCTGGAGGTGCTGTTCTTTACAATGACAGGATTAGAGGCAGCTGTTACATCAATCGTGTATTTTCTTTGTTTTTTGTCCCCCCCACAATAGCAGTTAAAGTCATCTTTTATTTACAGCATCTCTTCTTTCGATGTTAATAAAAGCTGCATTAGATATGTGACGTTTCTTGGAAGTCAAATAGCAAAACAAATCTGGCAATCTGCACCGTGACTGTACTGTATCTCATCATTGACCTTCTATAATAAAGCTAGGGGAGATTCAGGAACCATTCAATGACTACTCACCACGCTGACTTTGAAGGCATAGAGCAGATCAAAGGGCAATGCGGCCACCAGGTCGATGATGAACCACGTGGTCAGGTAATGGATGCATATCTGTCGAGCGTCGAAGATCACCTGGCCCGACTTGCTGACGTAAGTGGTGCGAAAATTGAAAACAATATCTGGCAGAAAAACAAAAGAAAAGACAGGATTTGATCATAGAAAACGATGGTCGTCTTAAAAGCTCCATCATTCATTCTGGTGCTGAAACAGTGTATGAACCGACCTATTATGAACAATATCTCCACGGCAATGTCGCTGACAGTGGTGCTGCGGGTCAGGTCATCGTCGTCGCCGATGAAGCACACGTTGTACGGCACCGTCACCGCGACGTAGAACGTGGCGAGCAGAATCAGCCAGTCCCAACCCGCTTTGAATGTGCTGTAGTGAAGTAAGATGAATTTGGACTTCTTGGCATCTGCTACCTTGTACTCTGGTAGAGCNCAACCAAGCACACTCACATTCACACCTACGGACAATTTAGAATCACCAATTAACCTCAACATGTTTTTGGACTGTGTGGGAGGAAGCCGGAGAACCCAGAGAGAACCCACGATGCACGGGGATAACATACAAACTCCACACAGAAAGATCCCGAGTGTCCTCATCGGGACGCCAACCAGCGACCTTCTTGGTGTGAGGCAACAGTGCTAACCACTGAACCACCATGCAACGTCATGCAGATTAAAAAAGAAAAAAAAAAAAACGTACAGCATGCTTATTTACTTTATTTTGGAGATGCAACCTCTTGTCGAGTAGTGTGTGTTCTGAAGCACCATCTTTTGTTTATAAAGCATTTCCAGTTCAACCCGAGGGTGCACATCTTATTGTACGGGAACATCAGCGCATATTGTCATATTAAATGACAAACACCAGTGGTAGAGAAGCACTCAGATCATTTAATAAAGTAAAAGTAGTAAAGCCGCAATATGTTAAAGTCCTGCACTCCAATCCTCCGATACTTTTTGCAATGTTCCCTGTCAGTGTTTTACTATTATACATATGATTCTTATAGATCAATATTACATGCATATGTTGCATTTCACTGCTGTAGCTAAGTTTAACTCCTGTACTGTATATATAAGTGGGTAGTTCAGTCTAGAGCCATGCATCATGTTTTATAAGATTGTTATGTTTGTATCGTTGCTGTCCAGTGAGAATTTCTCAAAAGTACATTTTTCATGAGTTCAGAAAAACAGCCCTGTTTTCACTTCTGTGCCATTTTCCCTCTAAATCAAGAGGCTTTTTTGTTAAATGGTTAAATGGCTTAAGAAGTAGGGGAATGTTCTCAACACATAAATTAAGAAACTGTGAGTTTGTCAGAAAAATTTAAATGTCGTCTGAAAGGTAACTACAGCGAATGTAGTGGAATAAAAAGCAAAATATTGGAGGAGTGGAGTTGGAGTAGAAAGTTGAATAAAATGGAAAAACTTCAAGTAAAGTACAAATATTTTGAATTCATACGTTCTACTAAAGCTAATTCCAACACTTTTGTTGTTCACATATAAGCTGTAAAAGATCAAAATTGGTATTAGTTTTGAACTGTAATGTTTTGACCAACTTACTGTTATTTTACAGATTTCCCATGTTTTTGTATCAGTACAGATAATGTAATTTGCAAATTGAAAGGTACAATCACAGAAAAAATAATTAATTTACATGTTAGCTGTAAAAATAAAAATGAGGGGAAAAAATATAAAGTCAGAATCAAAAACCTGCATTTTACAAATGATGATTTGTTCTTTAACAATCATTGTAAATAAAAACACATTATTTTCTGTTTTTAATATTTTTTAACTGTTATTTTACAGATTTAACTGTTTGCGAAATTACAGATCATTTCTTGTAAAAATCGCATTTTAAAAAGTTTTAATGTTAACTGTAAAATTTAAAAAAAATAAAAAAAAATTAAAAATCTGTATTTTTACAAACAGATTTTTTGTCTTTTAAATTGTGTGACCATAAACTTACAGTGTTTTATTGTATTTTAATATATTCAAAAATAGCATAATTTTGCTTATGTGTGCTGTTATTTTCACTGTGGTTGAAACGGTGCAACATTCCATCATTGGGTCATGTGTTTTTTTCTAGCATCGTCATTGAAATTGCCTTTTGCACACTTGTGTTGTACTCTTGTTTTGTTGCACATTATTGGCACTACACTTCATGCAGGACTTTTCTACGTAGACATATTACACTTATTGTACATTTTGCATTTTATATTTTCTTACTGTTTATTTTTGCTTATTTATAAGGTGGTGGTAACTTTACTCTTTTTATTGTAATAACTCAATTTCCCCTTTGGGATTAATAAAGTATTCTATTCTATTCTATTCTATTCTATTCTATTCTATTCTATTTTATTCTATTCTAACTTTCCCTCCTCTCAGCTGCCTCAGTTCTCTGCCCTTGATTTTGTCCCCTGTGCTTCAATAATAACAGCTACCTTCTCACTTCCCATATTATTTCTGAATGGTCCTTCATGATGTTACATCCCATTGTTTGAAGAGTCTGATGGTACCTTGTTGAGTTTAATCTTGCTCTTCTCTCTGCTGTGGAGGTGACCAGAGATGTGGTAGAGAACGGTGCTGCTCCTCATTCGAGCCGAGCTGAATGGAGAGCCTGTTTTCACCCTGCCGCCGCCGCGCCGCCGCTCTGCAAACACACAAACATGATCACGCTCCCATCTACAATACTTTACCCCCCAAGGTTAACTCCTGATGACTGAATCAGTCATTATGCTTGATGAAATACATAATATTCTGTCCTGAATAGGGAAACATGAATATGCAACAGCCAGAACGTTTCAATTCTGAGCAAACTGTGCAATTTGCTCAGAAATGCAAAGAGAGTGAGCTGTGGAAAAAAAGAAGAAGAAAGTGTTTACCGTCAATTTGCTTTTGTGCAGTCATAGAAAATGTGCTCCCTGTTTTGATTATTCAAAAGTACATATTGGTCGATAATGACTTATTGTGTAAACACTATTTCCAACAAAACAGTGCAATTTTAGGCTTTGATAAGTCGCCACTGGGGCAGGGAGGCAGTTAAGCAGTGTGGTTTATTTTCGTTGCTGGACTGCAACTCCTGTGTGTGTTTCTTCCAAGTGTATTGCGGCGCTAGATAAAGCAGATATAGTGCAGGAGTGATGCGTTCGGACTGAGGAGTTGGGTAATAGGAGAAGGCACTTTATTGCTGCTGGGTTCTGAGCCCAGTTCTCACTGCTGTGAACCTACGGCAAGGCCAGATTGGCTCGAGGGGGAGGATAACGACAATAACAAAGCCGGAGAATAGACGCGATAACTGATTCTGAAACGTCCTCTGGAAAGTGTATGTGTTCCGAGGAGTGTGTGTGTGTGTGTGTGTGTTGTGTGTACGGGCCCCAGACAAGGCGAGCAGACAGGGCCCATCCATAACGCGGTGCAGCCTTGGGGGACGCGACACGGCAGGAGCACAGACGCAGAGACATGCTTATTTTTAGATCTAATGAATTTCCCCTCCGCTTTTATAGCCATGCTTGTACGGGTAAGAGGGGGAGCATCGGTGGGGAGTGTTGTGTGTGTAACGGGGTGAGGGAGGTAGAGGCATGTAGGGCAGATCGGGGAGGTGGGGAGGGTATTGTAAAAAAGGAGCTGAAATGGATGAGACACGGAGGTGACGGAGGAAGGTGAGGAGGGGAAGGTAGAAAGGAAGGGACAAAGCGGGTGAAAATTCATGGCAGAAAAGAAAGAGAGGACGGGTAGATAGAGACACTGCTGGCGGTTTCCCTCTTTTGTCCACGTTGTCCAGACAGAGAGCTAAGTGGGTCACACCCGAAGTGTCTGTCTGCCCTTGAAAGGCTTCCCCGGCATGGATGGAAATACCCCACTGATGTCATAACGTCTGTGTGCCACCGTGTCTCCTTTATATCTCTCTTTTTCACACCTTGCTTTATGTGTGTTCAAGGATGTTTCTGCTCACTTTGTAACTTAAAACAAGTTTACCTCCACAAAAAAAAAAGACGCACATCTTCTACGTCTGCACCTAGAGCAAGATGTAAATGCTTGTGAGACGTACCCGACGTATTCGACCCAAAGCCATTATAGCGAGGCGCTGGTTTCTGTCAGAGGCATGCAGCATCAGCCTCTTTCCCTTTCTTATGAAACGCATGTCATTACGCGAGCCAAAATAACTTCACTTTCTGCTTCTCGCTCTCCCTTATTTACTGTAATGAGACTAATTAGGCAAATCCAGGGGAGGCAGGCCTGAGATGAGAAAAGTCAGTTTGCTGACTTCACACACAAACACTGACACTCACACACGCTGACCTTCTGTCTGGCTTTGTAGGCTGCTTTTGGCTTGAGCTTAGGTGTTGCCCTTTGAGGATGTTGACTTTGAGGGCAAACTTTGCTTCCTTTAGCTGCTCTTTGTATTTACAATAATGAAGATAATTAGAATAGCATAGAAAAAAAAGTTCCAAGCCCAGTCTTGTGTGCGCTCTGTGTCCCACCGTCCCACCCCAACCAGCCACCTGTGACTTGTGTTACAACTTTCTGTACTGGGAGCAATAATGCCACTGAACATAACCCAGGTTGTATTTCCTTAAAACACATTTGATGACAGAAATAAGCCGTGTATGAGCTTAACTTCGAGGAGACAGGGCTACTTTGAAATGAAACACAAGCCTAATGCATTGAGGTGTCAAAATAATCTAACCCCGTCCACTCCTGGAGGTCCATGTACCGTGACCAGGCTATTATAAGAATGCAGCCGGCGCCATTTTTCGAAGGTTGCCAAGCGTGGCGCTTTCACTTGAACAGGCTGTCTGGTGCTGGCTGTGACTAAATGGATGTAGCATTTGTTGTCCTTCAAGGCTCTTATTCAGTTTCAGATTTAGAGTTTTGATTAGGTGGCGGTAAAAGTGTCAATTATTGCTGGAGTTTTCCAGATTTAACCCTGGCTGGGTAATGGAAACGAGGACACTGAATTTAATAAGTGTTTGTAATCCAAAGATCCCAAAGTTTTTGCACTTCAGCGCTATAGTTTTGCAGTTGTTATTTCTGCTGGTCGTGGTAACTTTAAGAACTGGACTTCTCTTTTAGGTTCTTGAAGTTTCATCTCTTATCCAAGAGGCTTCTTCAGTTCTCACTCAGAATTGAAGAAGCCTTTTGGATGAGAGGTGAAACGTCTTCAAGAATCTAAAAGAGAAGTCCAGTTGCTTTAAACCGAAGCATCTATGATGGACGTAAGACGCTAAAGTGATCTGAGAAAACAATTTTTGCAGCTCGACCACACATTTTGTGTCAGCGATTGGCTTCGTCTACAATAGCAAACATATTTTACACATTGTTTTTTTTCTGTCTGTCGGTTTGATGGATAAATGATACGCTCCGGCTGCATACATGATCAAAATCCATCCATCATCTATACACGACTTCATCCTCACTAGGGTCACGGGGGGCTGGAGTCTATCCCAGCTGACTTAGGGTGAAGGCAGGGGACACCCTGGACAGGTCACCAGTCTATCACAGGGCTACACTTAGAGACAGACAACCAAGCACACTCACATTCACACCTACGGACAATTTAGAATCACCAATTAACCTCAACATGTTTTTGGACTGTGTGGGACCTGGAGAGAACCCACGCTGCACGGGGAGAACAAAACTCCACACAGAAAGATCCCAGGCATCCAAACAGGGACGCGAACTAGGGCCTTCCAGCTGTGAGGCGACAGTGCAAACCACTGAACCACTAAACCACCTTGCAGCCCCACGACCAAAATCCTCATGCTGAATAAAAAGGGAGTGTTTTAGGGGTTTGGGGGTATTCAGCTCTCTTGTAAGGAATCCATTCAACAGTACTAACATACATACTGACCTTCTTTTTTGTCTTCTTGGATGGCTTTGGCTTTAGTGTCAGTGATGTCCTTAAATGAAGCCAGAAAGAGCACCACGTCGCCTTTCTCATTCTTAATTGGCACAATGTCCAGCAGGCACCAGAACAGCACCGCTGAAAGAGAAAAACACTCCTATTAACACTTTTAAACATCGTCTCTGATTGGACAATGTATGTGTGCACATACCAGTTTGTGTGCGTGTAGGTTTGTTTGTGTGTGTGTGTGTGTGTGTGTGTCTCGCAGAGCAACAGTTTCACAGATTCCCAGACTTATTAGTGAGCCTTTCCACAGTTGGAAGTCCCTCGGGAGAAACAGAGCCTTTAAATAGACCGAGCCACAGTTCCCAAGGCACAGCAAGAGATGAACCCATCTCTGAGGTCCCATCTCCTGCTAAATAGATTGCTTTTCAAAGGAACTGCAGGTCAGCGTCTGTGAGCGTGTGTGTTTCTGCAGCAGCATTACGGTGCTCATGCTGATTCTTGTATCAGTGTTAAATACTTGATTTATCAAAGAAAATGTCATAGGACACAGATTTTTGTGTCCAGAAAATGCAAGTACCATATATCATCCTGTACATGGACGTGAACAACACATTTTTAAGTACACAGAGCATTATCGCCTGACTGCCGGCCCCAGTGTTTATTTTACTATTTAGCATTTTAGTGTCTTTCTGGTCACTGTGGTTTTACAGCTCAATAGTTTACTTCACCCTCTGAACCCCAAAGAGTTTCTGGGTGTTTGTTTACTCACCCAGGACTCAACTTTTACTGTGTCTCAATGGAAACAGCGCATCCATGGCTAGAAGTATAGAAAACACAAAAATGTATTTTCTGCCCTGTAACAAAATTCTAATGCCATAAATCCTTCAAAAGTTAAAACAAAAGTTATATTTCTTTGACTGGTTGTACAAAAATTGCACACAAAAAAAAAACTCATATCAGCTTGTCCAAGTGCCAATGTATTATAAACAGTGGGGAAAAACTGTTTTAGTATATTTGTTTCTATACTTGTCTCCTATGTGCCCTGTGTAAGCACAAGCACAAGTCTTTTGCATGCAATTGTTGGTTGGAGTTGAGTCATTAATGTTTTCTCAGTTGTTACAAGGAATGCAGCGTTTTTTTTGCTATTCACAGAATTTTGTCAAAAGTCCAAAGTTTAAACGAGACATGCAAAATAACGTGATTTTGATGAAAAATCCCAATTTCCAGCCTAGATTTGGTTCATTCTCCTGATTACATGCCACAAACGGTTTGCTCGAGGACCGTCGCAAAGTCCAAAACCCGATGATAATTACGGTTTTCACAGTTTCTGGTTCTGACAAATGATGTACTTTTGGTGATTTTGTAAAAGATAACATGCCTTTTGAGGCTCAGTAGTTACCCAGCATTGTTGTTTGAAATGGCTTTTGTCGCTCTCATCATCCCTGTTTCGGTAACAGCAGGAAGCCGTTTCCATCAAAAGGCTAAACCCACTGTGCACTGCCTGCCCGGCACCAAACAGCAGACAATTAGCAACTAGCTGGAGAACACAGTGGAGCGTTTAGTCGCTGAGAGACGGATATAATGTACTACAATCTGGTTGAGACTGGGCTGCATCTCGAAGGAGTCAGTATTGGTCTTCGGTGGCCAGAAAACTCAAAACGTTGTTGGTCCACGTCCTCTAGATCTAACTGTTCACTCATTAATATCAGATTAAAGTCCCTCTCCTGTCCTGGATGGAACCTCTACAACTCCTTTCTGTGTGTCAAAGTTGAATATTTAGAAGTTTTTTTCCCCATGATAACAATACCTTCCAGCTTAAAATGTATTGAATGTAACGCTACATTATTTCTTTCTTCCACAACTCTCTCTCCACCACAACCTGCAGCTCCAGCACACCAGCTCACCTACGATTCTACTCAACTCTGTCAAACTACTCCACGCTACACAACAGCAAGTTGTAATATTGGAGTAATTACACCTCCAGTGAGAAGAATAACGCTACAGAGTTCAGCAGTTCTTTTCCTCCATTGTTTCACTTTAAAGAAAGTGTTAAACTATCATCTTCTGACACACACTTGGTCACAATGAAAGTCTTTAAAGTAAAAACCTCGCTCCACTTTTCATTCTTTTCCATCCAGTACGTAGAAGTGAACTGCTGATAAGGAGGGATTTCCCACGGAGTTTCCTCCCGTCACTCCCACCCACTAAATCCTCCTCGCATGGTGATATCTCAATCACGGTATTTTTGTGTGTATATGTGTGTGTGTGTGTGAATATCTGCATGCCTGCGAGACAAGGCAGCACTATCAAGCACACAGTGCCAGAAAGAGCATTCCTGATTGCGAACACGCAGCGTTCTCTTCTCTCAGGCAGACAGACGGAGGACAAACTGAGTCAATCAGCTACGTTTACTTTCAGGACTCTGCTGTGACAGACGAAGAGAGAGGGATGAGGCAACAGGGAGGGGAAAAAAAAAAGGAAGGAAGAGGCAAGACAAACACGGGAGACAAACTAGCACCGAGAGAACAATGTGGAGACGGTAAAAGAGTTGGAAAAAAAATGTCACGAGAGACACAAAAGGTAACAAAAGGGAAGTGAAAGAGAACAGAAGGGAAGATGGTGGAGGGTAATATGAGGCAACAAGGCAAGAGACAGAGTTGTGCAGACAGTCACATCTGTGATGGTATTAGCAAAGCTGTGTGTATGCAAACTGCACTGAGCCTCCTGGTAAATTTGTTTTAAATTCAGGCATGGAAAATATATAAAAAAGCAGTAAAACATTAGACAATTGCACATGCCATCAAACCCGTATTAGCCTTTTTTTTTTTTTAAAGAGCATCATAAACAAACTGTACAACCGCTGTCAAAGCAACATCATCATAAGGTGCATTTACTAGCTGCTGTTGTGGAGCTTTTGATCAAACCCAACGATCAGTAATCTGCTTCCTCTCAAACGTCCGGCAGCATCTCAGATTTGTTACCGTACAATTTCACAACAGGTCAGCAGTTTCTCCTCCAGAAGCAACCGACCAGAGTTTGCGATCGGTGGTAAGAGCTGAGTGGACTCACAGAAACAGCAGCACTTAATCAACATGTTCATTTGATCAATGAGAAAAACATCAGCTGCTCCTATAGCAACAGCCGCCACTTGTCGGTGCCAAGCGAAAAAGATGCTGTTGGGACGGATTCATCACTCACCGCTGACAAAACAAAACAAAATAACCCCTTTTCCCCAACAGGAAATTGGCTGACAGGAACACATTGTCAGGCTGAGTGAATGAAGCGGAAATAAAAGGTGATTCAGACAAGAAGCTGTCCTGTACATGCTGAGATTTCCATTTCTCTGAGGACTATAAAGATATACTGTATAAGTCAGACAGCTCGAGAATGAACTACAATAGAGAGCTCCAGAACGGCTGTGGAGAGAAATTAGAACGCATGATATAACGACTAACTCTCCTCCTGGATCGTACTGAGAAATTCAAACACAAATGTTGCCTGGCCTGATTAAAATACATTTCTTTTCTTTTTTTTTTTTTTTGGTACATTCACACAAGTGAATGGACAGCAACAAACACAAGAAGCATCCAAGCCTCCAATAAATATGCAAGGGCACATGGCAACATCTCATATCACAGCGAGCGTGCATCCACGGAGGCCGAGATGTGCTCATTATTTTCAACTAAATTTTGTTCGCCGGCCAGCTGGCTAATCAGCGCGGCACACACCAAACCGTACCGCACCACAGCTAGATGCCAGGCTCAGTGTGATTGAAGGAGACAGGTTTAAGGAGTCTGCTATTAAAGCTTAATGTGTCTCGGCATTAAATAATAACCGGGGGGACACTTTTGACTGATGGCTTTGTTTAATCACCTTTTAATGAGAATGGGTCAATAAAATGAGTTCCATTCCTGCAGCTTGGTCTATCCATCGGCCCCCGTCTATGCCAATTTTAATGGAGCTTCTTCAGAAATAGCCACGGAGAGATCTGCCCTCCATTTATGGAAATATAAAAGGCAGTGTCTCACATGGTAATCGCTCTGTCTGTGCACCCTCTAATGGCTTTCCGTGCTCGTCTACCGGTCTTCTTTCCGACGCTTAATTGGTAAATTGTGGAAGAAGGCAGAGAGCCCGCGTTGCAACCATAGACTGTATAAAAGATGGACGTAGCTACCGTGACGTCACCCGTTGGTTTCTGCACTGAGAAAATGAAGCCAGGGTTTTGCTACTTCCTGGTTGACATCTTGGATTTTTGGAGCCAGTGAGGCAAAAATCGTTGGAGGGGGGCGGAGCCATAGGAGCAGCGATTGGTCAGACGGATTGAGAGGCGGGCCCTCTCTGCCCGCCCACATTTACCACCTTCTGCTCGCTTCCTCTGTATGGTCGCTGCCAACTGTCAATCAAGCCAGCCACGCCCCTTGCCCTGCAAAATTTTGATGATTTTTTTAAAAATTCAGTATTGATTTATTTTCAGATTGGCCACCTGATCTCTGGATTTGACCATGAAAACTAGCCAGGGCTTTTTGGAGCCAGCAGTTAGCAGACGTAGGTTTTTGACACTTCTGGGTTGGCTTCATTTTTCAGGGTCGGTTGCTACGTCCATCTTTTATACAGTCTACGGTTGCGACCTGCCACAACTGGAAGCAAAATTGGCTTCGGACTGCTTACCTGTCTTTTTGTAGAACATGATCTCATCTTTAAACTCCTTGCGCTCCTCCAAGGCGTCGTCGATGCTGAGGATGATGCTCTCGCTGGTCTCGGGCCCGTACAGGAACTTGCAGGCGCAGCTCTTCTGCATGACCTCCGCCCGAGAGAAACCTGTGAGCTCGCAGAAGCCATCGGAGCAGTAGACGATGGGAAAGCCCTTCAACACCTGAGCGTTGGCCAGGATGAAGTTGCTGTCTGCGGGGGAGGAAGAGGAGAAAGAATGAAAGGTGATGACGTCCATTGTAAAGATCATGTGGCATTAAGATAGAAATATACTTTTTTTCCCCCCCTGCTTACCCAGACTCACACACAGTCATGGGTGTCTTTTTGATGTTTCTGTTCAAAGGGAAAGTGTGTGGACAGTTTAGCCTAGCTTATGTCTATTCCCAGGCGCTTTCAAATAAAGGAAAATACACTGTTACAGGCCCCCAAAGACGGTTTAGGATATCTACACTGAATGCAGGGACATAAAAATCAAATCCAGTGTGTTTTTCTGGCTCTAGGCAAGAAGACCAAAATCATTATTTTGCTCCTTCAAGAGTCCCTCGAGGTCTCAGCACCAAACCCTTAGCAACCGCAGAGTTACTCCGATGTCTGGCAAAACAAAGAGTGAATATTATTATTTAGCATCTCCAACAGTTTTTTTTTTTTTAAACATTTTTTCTTTCTACAAATTGTACATATTTTAGAGGTTTTTCCACTGCAAACTGTTTCTTTCTATAGCAGATAACGAGGAGTAAGAAAGTTTATAATGAAGTTAAGAGGAAAAGTGGAAAATAGTGAGCATTCTTATTCACTAGCTTATTGTGAGACAGCTTTCATATTAAAGATTGTCATTTGACCCACTTTTTAGGGTGATGACAGCGGAGAGAGATCACAAATGTGGGGAAAGAAAGCAAATGACTAGCTGTAGAGGTCTGGTCTGGCCGGGAATCGAACCAGCGACTCCCTGCTCAAAGGCGTTTCTGTTTACAAAGCAAAAGTCCTTCTGACCTGTGTAATCTCCTATCACTTCCCAACAACTCGCAGGATTTTTACTAGTGATGCATGATATTAAAATTTCTGGCCAATACCGATGTTTGATATTAAGATTTCTGATATCGCCGATAACCGATGTCAATATTGAATTTTTGTTCACACTGAAAAATAAGTATAAGTAGCCACTGTGAGAACGTGAAGACTATTAAAAAGAAGTCCAAATTAGACCACATAGTCGTCTTTACTACGAAACAAAAGTAAAACACATTTTAACATATTTTAACATATTTAACGTTCAACCATTTAAGTAAAAACATCTGTGAAATAGCAGCAAATGAAGAGACAAAGGCGCTAATGTTAGACAATCATCAGTTTTTCACATCAGCTAAATTTGTTCATCGGACCGATACCTCTATATGGAAAAATATCGGCCGATATCGATGTGGTCACCGATATATCCCTAATTTTTACTGATCTCACTGGCTGCTCTTCAACATGTACATGATTTGGTCCAAAACTGGTGAAGTGGCTGTCTTCTATTTTAAGGAATAAGAATGAATTTCTCTATTTCAGAGAATTCAAAGCCCAGATCAAAAATGTTTAACTGGAAAAATCCAATTTCTTTTTTGCATCCGGATATTCTTTAATGCGTCTTTAGTCCCTTGGTTGTTTTATTTTGCTTTATTTTTTGGCCCCGTGTCATTTTTGTTACTTCAAAACAAAGGTTCAGGTTTAAAAAAAACAAACAAAAAAAGTTTGAATCAGTTTTTTTGACATGTGACAATTTCTAATAAAATTAATCAACACAAGTTTTTAAAGTCTTAAAATCCTGAACTCAGGACAGAGAAAAAAAATCGTTATCAAGCCAATTTCATTCATTTATTACAACCTAAATCTTTGTTTTTAAATCAATGAACACAGGAATTTGAGTTTAAATGACACACAATATTTAGTTAGTGGGTTAACACCATTATCATGTCAACACAACAAATCAAAACAATGTTTGCAACTTAAAACGTTTGTCTGATGTGGTGGGAAGAGGTCCTTGGAATTACTTCTTAGAGTGTAACGGTGCACTTTCTTGGCAACTTCCCCCTTTAATGAAGGTGATATAAATAATAAAAAAAACTCAGCTATCGAGTTGTCTGTTTGAAGCAGTAATGACTTTTTTTTTTTATCACCATGGAGAGATTTACATTATTATGTCCCCTAATGTAATCTAGCCAGCCGGAAATGATATCGCCAACGGATTTGAGACCTCTCAGCTCCCACTATTGCCTACTGAAACTTCACATAACAAAAATAGACGCAAATTTAACTGGTCAAGTGGTGCCTCTCCAGCTGTTTAAATAAATCGCTCTCAGTCGCCACTGGGGCGAAAATGTGACTTTTAACACAGAGATACAAAGGCTGATGGGATCTCCAGTTTGGGCAGATGAAGGCCTGTGTGGGCTGCAGAATGAAGGTCATTTACCTCAACAAGTGACTGATTTATCTGCACAGTGAACAGCAACAGAACTCTTGAAACTCATTCCCTAGCGTCGAGAAAGCAACCCTGAATTCATAATACTTGTAGTAAAAACAGGTTCTGTGTTCTGGGTGGGTTTTGGTGAAGAATACGCAGGAGTGGAGGACACATGGGGAAGAGCTGGAGTAGTGGCAGAAAACAAGAATCACATAAGTGCTGAAGTCTATCACAATTAATTAGCCTATTTGTGTCTCGCTCTACATACGGAGTTGAAGAGGACCAGCTGTTTATACCTGAATCCATCCATTATGGCACACAAACAAACACCCATCCGTGCAAACAAACACCCACAGTGCCAGTGTGTGCAGACTGATGCTGAGCTCTGCTGATAGACAGCTAATGTTTACAGCACAATGCCCATTATACAAGACAGTGGACAGCGTTTTGACAGACTCTATAATGTGCATGTGCCGATGTAGGGTTTGTGTGTTTATGCGTGTCCCGCTGTAATTTGATAACCAGCCAACACTAGCCCACAAACCGCATGAAAAAATGTAAATACACAAGCGCACTTTAGAGATTTCTCTATAATTACCGTAAATAAATGAGCGGCACACGCATCCGTATACGCAAAACACACAAAGTGACATGAGCCTGTTTATAATAACAGCTTGAGACATCCTGCAAAGCAACTTGTTTCAATTACATTTCATTACGAAAATCAATTTTCTGCATCAATAATTCCTTTTTCCGCCAACCTGGATGTTTAATTGTTTTATGTCGTACGTCAGGCTTTGTTGAAGGAAACCACCTCAGATTTGAACTGGGAATACAACAGCAGAGGGCAAAACTCTTGTACGCGTCTCTCAAGAGGAATGAGCAACATGTTCCTCTTTATGAGCCCATTCAGCGGCCGCCGATTGCATCGGCACGCCTGCCGCGCTCGCTGAAAATGATGATTCCTGTCATTTTACTCTATAGCCTGAGATTACGTAATGGTGAAGAAAGGGCAGCTCTGGTTTATGAAAGCTTTGGTATTATTATCATCATCATCTCTATTACTGATACTGAGCAAATTAAGATGTGGAAAGGTGTTTTGGACTATTTTGGACATAATATTGGTGTCCCTTCCAAATAAGTTTGGCTAGCTAGAATTTAGACCTTCTTAGAATCTTTATTTTTGTTTCCAAAACCAAAAATAATAATGCATGCAAATTTTTTTAAATTTATTTTTTGGCCTTTATTTGACAGGACAGTAGAGAGTGATAGGATAGAAGAATGGGGGGACGGACCTGCAGCAAACGGCCATGGGCTGGATTCGAACCCATGGCCGCTGCATCGGGGACTACAGCCCCTGTACATGGGTCGCCAGCTCAACCAGTTGAACTATAGCGGCAGCCCCATTTAAACCAACTTACAAGTGAAGTAAGTGACAAGGATCATCTCGTTACAAAACAATGTTCTACTGGAAAATGTTGGGTTCTGGCATTCGTGTTGCTGTTAATTTGACCTGTACCACCCACCTAATCACTGCTCCAGACCAAGCACACAAACACAGCTACTCATTCTTGCCCTTTTTGGCCACAGTGACATCCTTGAACAGAGGAACAAGAGGCAAAGCATTGAGGGTGTTCCAGCAGAATGGGTAGCAACAAGCCTCGTGAAAAGCCAGGTTATCCAACTCTTCATTTGGAGACAAAATTGAAAGTGAGCGTGCCTGAAATGTGAATCTTCCCCTGCACAGGAACACCATGTGCAACTTGTGATGAATGTTTCTAATACAGCAAACCTCTATCTTTTCCCTCACAGGAGTCTGGCTTCCCTGAAGGTTTGTTTAAAAAGTTCACCATTGTTTCGACTGACTTCTTTTTAAATTCACTAGCGTTCCTATAGCTCCGCTTAGTTCCGTGTTAGTTTAAACCAATCGAGGCGGTAAACAAGACTATGAAAATGAAACGTCTTCAGCAGTGTTTGTGGAATCACAGTTAGAACAGAAGAATAAATCACAGTGACACGATGCCCACTCGGGAAAGAGATGAACGCATGAGAACGTGTCATGTCAGCAGTAATGCTCCGACCGAACGGCCCAGACAGATGGTCAGAGAGGGTCTCAGCGTTGGGACCGGCTGTCAGACGTGAGGCCTCCAAGGCTCCGGGTAAGTGAGAGAGAGAGACCGACAGGACTGGTGGAGTCTCAGGGACCCGAAGCAAAGGCCTGCAGCCTGTCTGCTGGCAGCTCCCAGAGCACGGGAGGATGGTGTTGACAGAAAACTAATGTTTACAGAGAAATACACACTATAGAGTGTTTGACAGCAGATTACTTTGGTTGCATAGAACTGACAGATGTGCTGTATATGGTCTGAGTGTAAAGTATGCTTGTAGAGGATGGTACCGAGGGGATGTTAGGGAGCATATAACTTCTTTCCTGATGTAGATGGGATCATTGATGTGTGAAGAATACACACAAGAAAATCAAGTACAAGACAGTCCTCAACTGAAAGATTCTTGTTATATCATAAGATCAGCTACACTGAAAAATTCTTTTAAAAAATTGGGGGAAAAAATGGTGAAAATCAGGCAGCACAGGACCCCGACAAAAAGTAGAGTGCTGTAATGTTCAAAAACTGTGAAATATCAGCAAATATTTGTAAAATAGTTACATTTTAGTTGATTTAAATGCAGTAAAACTAAAACTTTTTAGTCCCACATTGTCAAAAAACAAAGCACTATTTGTAAAATAATGGATTTTTGATGTGGATGTTATGTTTGTACAGTTTGGGCTTTTTTTTTTTCTT